CATCTGTGTGAAACGACTGGTGAGTTGCATTTTAAAGAGGTGAAGAGCGTAGTCCCAGCATGCTCCTCTCACAGGGATATGGTAGCTTTTGGTGTCTGATAATGGCCACGATGCATTAGGGCACCGCCACAGATTTGCATTATTTCATAGTCTTGGCTCACTGTGTTCATTTTTTTTCTCAGCCTGTTTCCTCTTTGAAACCTATTCTTCTGCTCCTCGTTGGAACAGTGAGAACAAAGACATAGGGATGTCACGGTGTGGGAATGTTCCCACCTGGTAATAAATACTTGACAACACTGGTGTTACAGATTACTCCTGTTATTTTAGAGGAAAAGGGTTTGAACTTAAAACCACAAATCCTCCACCATGTCGTCATCTCGTCATGTGACTGCAGGGCTGAAACACTGACTGTATAATTGTAGCCTCTGATTGATTGCAAGTATTAATAGCTAGTATTTCACGAGTGTGGGTACTACCACTGATTTGTGAAAATCAACCAAATGACTTCACTTCTACATAAAAAGATAAATATTATATGTTGCCAGTGGACAACAAGTGCGTACCTGAACACAATGTAACACCAAGCAGCTACCTTTAATTTTTAGGGAATTTACCCTATAACACAGATACAACTATACAGTATTTATGTAAATAATGTAAAGGTTGGGCTTAACGTGGCTACTCAAAAATCTTTCTTAACTATTTAATGTCTTTCAGAATTATGGGATCAACTGTGGTCACCTATGTTTTTTTGATTATTTCTTAATAATTGTAATATATTTGCTGATTATCTCCACACATACACACACATAGCTGCTATTATTTAATCACGTTTACAGAAATGTATTGTTGTTAAATATGTTTAACAGTAGCCTACTGTTCCCTCCATCATAGCTCGATCAATGTAGAATTGTTGAGGCTCATATTGATATAGATAAAAAAAAGTCCTTAAGTCCTTAGTCGCAGTCCTGTTTGTGTTCATGTGATCATAAATGTGTGATGTCACCCTTTTTTAGCTCATGTTTTTGGTCTCTAGCAGTTCTTGAGGGAAATATTTGACTCTTTAGCTGCTAAATGCTCCACTCTCTTCACCAAGTGGTCACTAACTGTCTTGTGCAATCTGTTGCTACCATAAACTGCACAGTTACAGCTGTGAGAATGAACCAAAACAGTACATTTGCAGTTCAGACAACTAATCGATGAGCTGATTCATTGGTCTGTAAAAACCAGGGGAGCTTGAATATTGTATGTTCAGTGTGCAGTTGCTGTTGTGGCCAAATCACTCCTGAACCAGAGATATAATAATGATATATTTATGCTATAATGATTTTGTTGTGCAGCAAATCTTCACGACATGACTCTCAATTATTAAAATAGCAAAAAAATTATACAAATATTCACAAGTGCACCTGCACAAAGTAAAAAGAAGAACAGCTGCACTCAAGGATTGATTTAGATTCCGTCACTTGATGGATTCAAAACCCACTTTGACTCTTTTTATCAAATCTGATAAGGTCTGGAAATTGACCTCCAGACAGCTGACAGAAAAGAAAAGGCATATTTGAGTAAAAGCCAGCTTATTATGAACTGAATTCCAAATATTGAAGGAATGATTTAATTAGTGTTGACACATTTCAGCCAGCCATCCGACATTTTGATTTTGTGGTTATAGTCTCAGAGGGGGAAAACTGACAGCGGTTGCTCCCAGGAGACGTTCCTGTGTATGGATGTCTTTACCCTCGCGCTGCACTGTACTGAAGCTTATGTGTATTCATGAGGATGTAAATGTGTGTCATTTTAGCAGGGAGGATGCTAAAGGTAAATAAAATAGAGATGCATGTCAATGCTTTTTCTGAGCATGATCCATTAGCACAGTTATTACAAAGAGCCTTTACATCACTCACTGTTTTTAACTTTGTGGGTCCCTTGGAAATTAATTTAGATCCTTCAGTTGTCCCCTCCGGTGAGGTTAAAAAACAGAGGCGGATCCACATGAAAGTGGCTGCATTTCTCATATTTCTAAGGATTGTTCCTGCTTCACATGATGTGTGACTCCTGAGCAGAGAAGAAACAACAATCCAGAGGTGTGATGTGCAGAGTTAGGGTCCCTTTTAGTCTACCCAATTAGACAGAGATAATATTTGACAGGTGCTGCCTTAATGATGTTTTACCGCGGGGGCTGAATATGCAACAGGTTCCCATTTGAAGTGTGGCGTTACAGAGCCCAGTAAAACTGTGCAGAATATGCAGCAGCAGTCTATCTGGGTTTATTAATATCCATATTACAGTACAGACGCTGTGATGATTCACACCTAAATTGCTAAATGGGTAGAAAATCTTCTATTTGCCAACGTGGTGTTGAGATGGCTCTCATGTCACGGCCCACTGAAGCACTTTCAGTATTTCACATAAAAGATAGATAAAGAAATAAAGACGCAGTGTAAAAGGACATTTGTGAAGATTTAATTTGGTCTTTGTCTGTGGATGTTGCAGTACATGCATATGCCGCATGCTTGAATGCTTGTGGTGCATGTGCATTGCTATGGTATGAGCGGATGCAGTAAATCACAATGACATTATGTCCGTAACAGCTGCGTTGCCATGGCGACTGCTTATTCAGCCTTCTGAGCGGGTCCATCTCTTTCTATGGTCAAACACCTGATTGTGATGTTGTTATTGTTTTTTTTTATCGGCTCGACTTTCCTTGTGAAATCATCACATCCACAAAAAAATAGGAGCAACAAAGAGAGAGGGAAGTAAAATCGAGAAAAACGAAAAAAGGAAGAGAAAGGAAAAGGAACCAAAGGAGGGAAATAAAGCGACAAGAATAAAGTGTTGGGATAAAAGGATGACTAAACCCAACTCCTCTGAGGGTGAGAGCCAATCTGGAAAATGATTGGTTGACTTTCCTGGGGCAAAGCTCTCTTTGCTCACATCAATAAAACATAAACATGAATAAATGCACTGCATTTGGCCTTCCAGGGTCCTTAATTTCATGTATGCAAGTGAGTGATGATATGCATGGAGGATTGTTTTTACCTAGGAGGCTCAAAATAATTCTGGAAGCCATTTTGTGTGTGTTATTAGTATTTACATAAATGAAAGACTTCACCACAAACTGAGAAAATGTTGGGTTTTTGATGCCGCTTAATTTGTCGAGTGTTCATGGTGTCGCTCATCTCCCTACTGGCCTCAGTGTTGCTCCCTATTGACGTGAGCCACAGATGCACAGCCTATCAATAATGGTGAAGACGTGGCTACAGTGATGTACTCTTGATGTATCCACTTAGGGACAAATCATCCAAACAGTCATCTGCCTAAATTGTCTGTTGGTCCCTTGGGGAGATCGTCACTGACCCGTTTCACTGGGTCAGCTTTTGTTAATGAGCCAACCACACAAACACATTGACAACCGTAAAGACAAAGCTCCCAAGGGCAAGGAGGCTTTTTTTGCCGTTTGGGGCTATTTTTAAAGGTTATTTTACATCCTTGTCTAAATTTGTGAGCGTCTGATTAAATTGAATTTGTGTGCGAAATGGCGCAAGTGATTGAAACCCATAAAACTGCGATCATCTATTTGTTGTTTACTCTGTTAATTTGCCGTGCGATTTGAGTCCCTTTGCTTAGGAACGAAGTGCCTCTGGTTTGACGCTGATAAAATCAATTCCACATTCAATTTACCTCATAGTATTTATAATGTCTCATGACACAGAGTCATTGTTGTTTGTGAAAGAGAAGTGAGGAGACGAACCATCAACAGTTTGGCAGAGTCTTTCTCTTGTATCTATTTTTCAGAGCAGGCAATTAGGCCCAACATCACAGCCATTTAACTAAGTCTGCACTCCAAATTGATTCAGACTCCAGTGTTGGACCTCGCAGACATGGTGCATTTCGTTATGCAAATGCTTATCTCTCTGTGTGATTGGTTAATTAACCTGTAACGCAGATAGTCCCAGCCGTGCACAGTGGCCGTTTGATGGCTAAATTGTGGGTCAATTGGGTTTTTAACATTTTCAAAGCAGACTTAGAGGCATGTCTTTGTTCCTCCAAGTCTTGTGTGGCTTTTCTCGATTTAATGACTCATTCCGCGGGTCCCATGAGGTTAATGTGCTTAAACTCACTGTAATTGAGCTTCTGACCTATCTTTCAGGCTTTTAAAAAAATTCTCATATTATGCCATGTTTCTGCTCCTTGATTGTTATTGTCTACCATTCCTCCTCGCTCCTTCCATGCCCTGCCCCAAACTCTCTACCCTACCCCCCCTTCCTTTTTTATGCAGAGTTATGAGCGTCCCCATGGGAAGTCATTTATAATGCCATTGGAGTGACAATAATGCGTTTGCACACCATTTCACTCTGCCCTCTGTGCCTTGGCAGGCTTTTATGGGCCACATTTTTGTTTCCCCAGAAACACATTGTCCAACCATCCTAAGATAACATGCAAAAGCATTTAGCCCAACTGGAGCTGGAAGTGGACGTCTAATAGTGAGTAAAATAACACATCCTTCACCATCAGCCTTTTAAAATCAACATTTGTTGGTGCTTTTGCAGCTTTAAACTACTTCATGATATTCTGGAGGTAAAAGCAGAAAAGTGTTTTTAAAAAAGTAAGGGAATGAGGTGAGAGAGGGTGGTGTGGTGCAGCTGCTGACTGAATTTCTTTTCATTGTTCACTGAACAATTATGTTCGGATTTTGCTGTCATGTAGGTATCATTCCACATGAAATACAGACACAACTCTTGACAGCCCAGATGGATTTTTTTCAGATCCTGCCACCAGCAGACTGACATCTCCTGACAACACGAGGATCTCTTGTCATCGTGACAACGTACTGTACAAGGCTGATATTTATTAGTATAAGGGTGTAGCGGACATGTTGTATTCATTCCACGTCATTAGGTGTAGACAGGTAATGTATGCGAGGAGAGGCACTTGTGCAAAAGCTTTTTAGTGCAGACCACGGCATATGATTAAATGTGTCTGTTGCTGTTATGTTGTAGGTGATCCTGATCTTGACTAAGCTGCATGACTTCAACCTGGGGGCTGTTACTGAGAGCTCACTCTGGAGGTGAGTTTGTTTTTTAATCGTTGCTATTTTTCCTTTTCTGTCTAAATGGCATCAGCGCAAGAAAGATTTTATAAAAATGCAAAAGCGCATCTCCCAAAAAACAATAAGAATAATATATTCATAGAGGTTGCAGTATACTCTAAGTATGATTTATTATGTTTCTCCTTGCTGGGATATGAACAATCAAGTCAGAACTGGAAGCCAATACGAAGTCTGTTTTAATAAAGCAAACTGAAGCAGTGCAGAATGAAGTATCCTCCTCGCAGGCCCATAAATGACAGTGCAGCAACCTTTATGAAGAGACCCAACCTATTTTCTGTCCACCATCATCAGTGAAACTTCCTGAAAGACTCTTTGACAGATAAAACTAGAAGACCTACTTGTGGGATCCTCTGATTGGATCTACGGCTCCGTTTCATCTGACCTAGAAACTTCCTGATGGAGTTTTTGATTGATTGTCAACCGTAACCTTTTGTTTCAGAGGCAATTGGCATGCAATCGCTACTGTATAGCTGTAGTAATTCCATTCAGTAGGTATTGAGAGGTGAGTTAGAGTGCCCTGTCAGGTCATAAATAAGAATGGAATTCATTAAGGATTTTACCATCGAGCCTAATCCAGTGCCTCTTTTCTCAGAGAACTCATTTCATTCTGAAATACACCTAAAACGGAGACCATAAGTCCGCCAAGCACAGACTCTCAAATTAATATCTGTTTCACCAGAGGCGCCACCAAGATTTACACCCGACTTGACATGTTTTGAAATCCCATATTGTGTACAGGAGGTCTTCCATCATCAAGGTGGCTGCTGAACATTGGCACCATGAGTGAATTAGAGTGCACCTCAGGGGGTGCGCCGAGTCTCTCAGTGTGGGTATTAGAAATGCAGAAATTTGAATGTTATGAAAAGAAACGGGAGTCAATGATTTCTGCGATGGCGCAATAAATGATTTATGGCAACAGCTCCGGGCAGTTGTTGGCGGCAATGTGCAGATCAATGGGATGACTGTAGCAGAAGCCATCGAAGGCTGCATCAAGTCCCTCTGTGTTTTGAGATGGTCGCCTTTTCCTGCCGAAGAAACTTCACGACGAAATAACATCGTTTAAGAGGCATTTTGCCGACGCCCACAACCACAGACAGCTACGCCAAGTGAAAGCAGTACTTAAGCACAAATACAAATGTGTTTAGGGGTAAGTCAATGTCAACAATGGAACAATTCAGATTAATGCATAGACAACGATAGCAGACTCGGGGATATCTATCCAATTATGCAGCGAAATTACATTTGGAGGCACTCAGGTAGAACCGAGAGTGTGGATTGGCTTTTTGCGGCGAGAAAAAATATGAAGACTTGGGCGACAAACACATCTACCCTTGTCATGGGAGATGCATGAACTTGACACACATTTCTGTGATGAACCAGTGTTTTATATAACAAATCTGAATTATTGTATTGAACTACATGTTGTTTAATTAGTATTTTATCATTCATTTCCTTTTTAAAAAATTTTTTCACTTAATTGTTTTCAGTGTTTTTGAAAAATAAAAATAAAACTGTTGCACTTTACCAGCTCAAAAGAACAACAAGAGGATGAAATTAGATGTTTAAATCAGTTGGAAATATAGAAAACAAAGCATTAATTTGAAATGTAAAGGGGATTTCACCACAGCTCTGGAAAGGATATCTTTAAATTCATTCTTCAATCTAGAACATCTAGTTGCAGAAAAAGGACAATAATGCTGCACATACCGTTAATGTAAGAATGTTTCTCCCAGTGTCGATATATATTCAAGGACTATGGCCATGTTGGATGTTTCAACCCTTTAATTACAAATTCCTGTGACTTACTTTAACGCTGACTATTTTCCAAAGCATACCTGAAATACAAAAACTTATTTCTCAACACGCAGGGTTTCATTACATGTCAGTGTAGCATGAAGGTGCTTGACATATGTAAAGCAGCAAATATTAGTTTGCATACTGTGTTTGTCAAAGCATAGTTATTGCTGAATGGTATTGTGGTTTCTAATGAATATGTCAACCATTTTAATGCACAATGTCACTTGCTTGATGCTCCTCTTGATATCCATATTTTCTTGTTGGTTGTAAAAGAGCATTAGAGGAGTGAGAGGCTGCAGGAAGAAGAATTTTCTTCTGCCCCTGTGCTCTTATACATCACCACACAATGACAATATCTAAAATGTTGCAATATGTTATATGTACCCTGTGGAGTTTGTTTGAAATTCTTGTTCACCAAAATGCATCATGTGCATCCTTGAGGCCTTACTAAACTGTTGAATGCTTTTTGCTCCTCATAAAACATCTGCAAGGTCAATTTTGGGAATAGTGTGAAACCTGGATTGTTTACATTACTGCAGATGTTCTGCTTCACTCTGTCTGGCTCGTTGCTGTATTTCATCTGGGTCACTGTCACCAATTAATGATCAGTGGTAAAATGTAGCCCCTCCCCATTTGATAGACAATTTTGCTTTAACTGCTGCTTCACCTTCAGCAGCCGACATCCTTCCCTGCACCTTCCAGGATTTCACCTTGGTCTCGCTCTGTATTTTGTTTACATTTGCAGTCCTGTCTTCTCCACTCGATGTGTGTCTCGTCACTTGTGTGCATGTACGTGTGCATCCTTAATCTAGCAGAGAAGCGTCTTTCTCACTGGATTTGGAAACTTTAGACAATTTTTTCTTCCCAAAAAAGTAGCTAGTGACAATTCTAACAACTTTTTGAAAAACCATAACTCCTCTAATTAAAATAAAGAATTGAAATGTCCCTTTTTGTCTCGATAAAGGCCTACACAGAGTTTACAATATGAGTTTGCTTTAGTGTCTGGATCTTCTTCACTTCCATAGTCTAATCAATATTCTTCATATAAGGTTTTTGAAATTAGAAGTAGATTTAGATGTATATTGATGCCGCAATAGTAGCTTGAAAAATAATAATTGTGAGTGTAATTTGTGTTATTTTGCAGTTAATTCACTTAAAATATTGTGTGCTACTTTGCGATGTTCCTAATGACACGTGTCATTGAAACTGAAATTTAAATTTAGACTAGCCGACTATACTAAAAGAAAGAAAATAGCCAACAATTTAATTGTCAGCACAGCATTTGTGGGTAAACGATATCTATGTTAGCAGCATTAGCACCAGCAGCCGTGTGCCTGTGCATTGCTCTGAGCAAGAGGTTATATGGCATCTTAATCTGCCAAAGCCTTCGTACAACCTTATTCTCATTTTCTAAATCAAAAGACCTCAACATCGCTGGTTTTACAAGATGTCGTCTGTCCAGGTGCAGGTGATCAGAGGGAGCCTGCAGCTCCATCTAGTGGTGGGATGCTGTGTAACATCTTAGAACAAAATGTTTGCCAGCATTGCACACTGACGAAAAATAAATAATTTGTAGAATAGACTAGTTTTTCTGGTGCTGACTTGCGAGTGTATCAGTGTGTGTACATTGCTAATGTAATGCATGAAGATGTATAGCATATTTCTTGCAGCATTGCAAAATAAATGTGTTTACTCGAGAAAGACCAACAAAAATACATTAGCATGAAGCTAGTTTCTGCAGGTTGATTTCCCCCTTTAAAGCACAAACGTTGTCTGAATGGGAGAAAATCAATCTGAGCACATATGGTATATGCTCCGGAGGTGCAGTCACGTAAAGAATAACTGATTTGCAGTTAATGGGCTAAAACATCTCAAACCGCTGCTGCAATAAGTGTTTGAAGCAGGTCTCTAATCGACTTTTTTCATCAAACATGGAACATTTTGTCTGCAACCAGATCCACCGATTACGGAAGCACCTACACCAAGCTCAACCACAAAGTGGGTTCAAGGACGGTCCTGAGTTACCTGTACGTCTGCCCGACCAACAAACAGAAGGTCAGCTTTTTTCCATCACTTCATGTCTCTCTCTTATTCCTGACATCAAATTATTATCAAATGACTGTATCTCCATCTCTCCCTCTTCTACTGCTGTATCCCCTGTGTGGCCCCTCTGTACTCTAGATAATGATGCTTAGCGATCCAGAGGTAGAGAGCGCCGTTCTCATCAGTTCAGATGAAGGGGCGAGCTATGAGAAGTATCCCATTAACTTCAACATCTTGAGCCTGCTCTTCCACCCATCACAGGAGAACTGGATACTGGCGTACAGTCACGACAGCAAGGTGCGGCTTCTGAGTGAATCCACGATAAACCTTAGAGCGGTGATAAGATCATACATGATGCTGAACAAGCATCTTAAAATTCAATTTTCACTGCTGTGGGTGTGATGATAGCTGTGCATGGGGCTCATTAACAGAATTTCTCCTCCTGGAACTTCTTAGTGTGACTAAGATCGGGCTAATTTTCTCTTGCAGCTGTACAGTTCAATGGACTTTGGGAGGAAATGGCAGCTGGTTCACGATGACGTGATGCCGGGCCGATTCTACTGGTATGATTATGTAGATCCTATTTTTGAGCTGTCTTTTAGCAGTGATTGATTGTAATTTGCATAATGATAGTGTACGTGACCCTCTGCTGTCGGGAGCATCCAGTGACCTCATGTCAAAAACAGATCTAACCCCCCCCCCATGGCAGTCAAGCACACAACTGATTATATCCACGTCACGTAGACCTGAAGGAATATTGTGCTTGTATTTCCATAGCACAACCATGACATGCTGTTTTTTGTTGTCGCTGTCATTTAATAATCTTGACTGCTCGCGCACAAGCCAGTGAATATTGATGTGAGCCTGTTTATCCCTCTTTGTCATGGTATGTGTCAAACCCAAGAGTGTTTTTAGTTGTGGAAGAAAGGACATCGGTTGGAGGACATCCTCTCCACATGCATGAATAGTGAGACATTTGATAGAGGAGAAGTGCTCAGCGGGTGTAGCGGCGCCCGAAACAATGCATTATTTGTGCTCCTGAGAACCGTATCTTCACGCACATTATGTCAAATAGTTATTTTTCAAACTGGTGTTGCAGCAACCTACGTTTTAATAACACATATTTGCTATGGTGGATATTTATGGTAATAACTGATGTTTTGTTACCCCCACCCCTTCTCTTGTTGTTGACGCTTTGGTGAATTGAGATTGTTTGCTGCCTGTGCTGCAGCTTCTCCACTGACTTATTTACAGGACTAAAAAGACATCTTGTTTCCATTTAACAGTATAGGTATGTCCGTCTCCCATGCTTTTCTTCTCGTTCTCATTCTCCTTTTCTTCCCCACCAATCTCTCTTTGCTGCTCTCTATCTTCTCCTCCTCTCGCTCTTTCAAGGGCGGTAATGGGGCTGGACAAAGAATCAGACGTGATCCACATCGAGACGCGCATCGCAAAAGGCCGTGAGTGCAGAGCTGCAGTCCGCCACAGTAGCAAGACCCTCAGGACCCCTTGCCTCTCATTTAGAGCGAGGTCACGGGGAAGATGAGACTTGTTCTGCGCTTCAGATTGGTCCCTGCAGTCCAGTAAAGCAGAATAGGTGTCTCTCGACAAAAACGGAGAGTTTTTGCGGGCTGATTGATGTTTCTTCGTCTTAATCTATCCCCTGTGTCTCATACAGAAACCTCAACTTTCTTCCTCTAAGCAGCATGGTATATTCTGTCATACCAATTACAGTGTTTTCGTGAATTGGAAAAGATGCTCATCTTCCTTCTGTTGTGAGAAGATATGAATCTGAATTAGTGTTCAAACTCTTTTTGTCTCACACAATAAGATCCTGAATATTTTAGTCTTTTGCTTGAATATTTGAGTCAAGCAAAAGCTTCTGTATCAGTCTGTCCAGGGCCAATATTGTAGTAATATTAATTGTGTGTGCGCGTGTGTCGAGAGTTGTGTATCTTAATCCGTGTGTTTGATCAGATTTGTGTAAAAGAATCTGCAAATACGTGCTGATGTTTGCGAATGTGTTCTGGAATCTGCAAATGTGTATTCAGAGTCTACGTGTGCATAATCAGATGTGTGAGCCTTCAAAAAATCTGTGAATGTGTCATGAAGTTTGCTGTTTTGTATTTTATTGTGTTGAGATTTGTAGACACATCTAGACATGTGTGCTTAGATCTGTGAATGTGTAGACAAATCTAAATGCGACTGCATGTGTTTAACACATGGCAGATCTGCAAATGCATGTCTGAATTTGTCCGTATCCACAATGTTTGCTGCCATACCTCAACTTAGGGTTAAAGAAAAACTGTGGTTACCGGTGGATACAGACACACATTTGCAGATATTGTAGAAGTGAAGCAAAAAAAAGAAGATGGGGCAGTTTTAAATATATCTATGTTTTGTATTTAAAGATTTACTTATGCACAGATATATGCTCGCTTTGCAGATTTGATTAAACGTGTACAAATCTCAATACACTTAAAAATCACATTACACATTAACATTTTTTTTACACATTTACAAGATTATGCACAAATGGATTGAAATACAGTTACATAACTTTCCACATACACAAATAGTATTGTACACTATTGGCCCAACAAGTCTTGAATCTTAGCACATTTTGATTAAAAGTTAATCGTTGTGGACCAAGATTTTCTTTATATTTTTCATACACTTCCTCTATCTCAGAGTTGTTTCAGAGCAGTGGACCAGAAATGTATTTATCATAAACTTATTGCATAGCAGCTCCAGTGCTTACAAACTGCTGTCTGAAAGCAAATGGTTCTAATTTACTCCTGATTGATTTCATTTTGTTGTTTTCTTCGCAGGCGCTCAGTACGTGAAGTGCAGAGCCCAGCGATGCACAGAAGGCAACAGACAGTACCCCTTTCCTGGAGACGTAGACACCAACTCGCTGGTTGTGCAGGATGAATATGTTTTCACACAGGTCTGCTCAGTGATGGATTTCTTTTCTGAATTTAAGTAAACCAGTTGCCTCCATCTTTTTCTGTCTCTCTGAACTTGGATTTTCCTCAGAAGAAGGGGAGTTGGATTTGTGCTGTTTTTATTTTGGTCTCTCGTACATCCAATTCATGCTTTTTCATCAAAACCCTCATAATGGGTTTCCCCCAACACACCTGTTCCCCACCGGGCCCAATGTGTGTTTTGATTATGTTCCGCTTCGTTCATGTCACACTCGGTGCATGAGTTTCCGCACAAACATAGCTCCATGCCTGAAAAATGTGTTTGCTTACTGCGAGCGTGCACACGGCAGAGGAACTGTGAATAGTCGGGTTTGTGTCCTTATTACCGTTCACTCTGACTTTGACTTTCAATTAGACAGCGGCCGTCAGGGTCATTATCAGAAATTCAATTTTCAAATGCCCTCAACTGTCATTGATTTCCATCCTCGGCCAAATACTTTTCTCTTTCTTCGTCAGTCCTGTTGGATTTGGAAAAAGAAAGTTCTTGGAAAAGATATAACAAATCAGGAAAATAAGAATCAAATGGTAGTAGACGGTTCTGTGTTTGTAGTGAATCATTCTGCACTCGTTCAGTGTGAATAAAAGCTGCTAAAATGTTTGCTGTTCGATTTTAATTTATTTATCCAGCGATTTAATCTTTCGATATGATGTTGCAGCAGCAATACTTTAGCAGTGACCCAGTTTCACTCGCCACACACTTAATCCACAGACTTGATTGAAATGGCTGCATAGTAAGAATGAAATGTATGAAAAAAAAAGATATATACAGTGTGTATATATACACACGTCAAAGCATGATTCAGAAATGGTGATTCAATAAAATGTCCAAATTGCATTTAGCTGAGATGAGATTGACTGTGGAGGCAGACATGAGGAGGATGCTGGTGAAAATAACAGGACAGAGGGAGGGAGAGTCCATGTGCGGAGCTGTGGTGGCACAGATGACTTTCTTGTGACTTTCATTGCTCGGGGCAGTTGGATTTAACTTGACAAAGAGTAATGAGGTTATCGATCGGGCTACAACGAAATAAGCAGTCTTCAACACCTCCAAAGTCTCTTGGGAGAGAAAGAACAGCCAAGTGCAACATCCTCAAAAATGTGGCCTGGGAAAATGCAGCTCATTGATTTTCGATAGATTATTCCATTAGAGCACTAATGTAGTGTGTTGGGGGACAAACGCCATCCTTCTACTTGATTAGAAAATAAGCAATCAAGTAGTGTAAGTTGATGGAATAGTGGTAGTGCATTAAGATCTTCAAGCCGCACTGTGGATAAAGGCAAAACAATCTTCAGAGTCTCTCAGCTTTAGTCTAATTGAGATCATGATAATTATTTCAGTTGTCTTTGCAATTTTACTCTGCTGAAAACGTTACATTTCTATCGAGTCAGTCATGCGTTGTGAATTAACACACTTTCTTCAGGAAATGTTGAAGCTTTGTGTCCTCAGTTCACTGCAGAGTCACATTTAGTCACTCATTCTTTCACGTTCTCTATCACAGGACACGCACGTTTAGCGTTAACGCTCGATGGTGGTCATGCACGACGCTCTGTGCTCACACCATCATCCCCAGGACAACAATCACAGGCTCATGCTCGAGGCTGGGGCAGAATCCAGGGGCGGGGCCAGGCGGCACTGAAGTGCCCCTGTCCTGTCACTTTTTATTTACGAGTTACTTATAGCAATACCAACAACAACTACTAAGAATAAATAAGTGGTCAAGATGTTTTATTTACTATGTTGTTTTTTTTAAGTTCACAAAGTGTTTGAACAAGGAAATGTTTTCAAAATATTCAATGATGCTGTAGAGCTAACGGTAGCCAAGGAATAACTTAAATGAATTGTGGACTGGTGTTGGACATATAATTGACCCCTCTGTGTAAATTGTGGCCCCTTATGGCCCCTGATTTTGAAAAATACTAGACTTATTAAATTACTAAGTGCTTGCAGCACAATATAACACAATACAGCATGCTGACGTGCCATTCGAGCAATGCTACAGAGAATTATAGAGGAAATGAAATCCCCAACTAGATGGACACCAGGTTCACCAGCTGCCTCTTCCTTCTCTTTTGTAATAAGTTGAATCAATTTGCCAGCACCTGCGTTTGTTTAAACATTATATGATTGGCTGGTGCCTCTGATGCCGCATGAAAAGTTGAACCCTGCTCCACCTCTGTCGTACGCAGTGTGAGCAAAGCAATGCAGCAGAACTACGATGTACCCTGTTCAAGTGAACGAGCAGAATTTTAGTTGACACCACACGGCATGTGTGAGTCCTGCAAATCATGTAAATACCCCCCCTCCTTTTTCCTTTATTTTCATAGTCCTCTCCATGTAGGAATAAGAAATCATACTCATGGCATGAGTCAAATCACTGTTCTGAAAATAGAGAAAAACAAGGTGTTGGGTGAAGTGACATTAAAATGTAAATATATGATCTGTAAAAAAATTTAACACAGCATCTTCATTGTAAAGGTAACCAGGTCAGGACGAGCCAGCTACTTTGTCTCCTACATGAGGGAATCCTTCAAGCGGATGAAACTACCTAAGTATTGTCTTCCAAAGGTAAGACACCAAATAACTGTCAAATAATTATACAGAAACGTGATGATTGTATTTGTATTCTGTAGAATTCACAGCACACAATGGTTTTCTATGCAAATAAATGTCACACTGAATTAAAAAGCTCAACCGTGCATGGTCTTCTAAGTCTCTTCTTCTGTTTGCTGGTGTTCGCCTGTCATCCTCACGCGTCCTCTCTCTCCACCTGTCTGTCCCTCTGTCTGTCCCCCTCACCCTCCAGGACATGCATATCATCAGCACAGATGAGAAGCAGGTTTTCGCTGCAGTCCAGGAGTGGAATCAAAACAACACCTACAGCCTGTATATCTCCGACTCCCCTGGGGTCTACTTCACCCTTTCGTTAGAGAATCTGAGAACCAGTCGAGGACCCGCCGGTAACCTGCTGGTCGACTTTTATAAGGTGCGTAGTTGGTCTTTTTTCATTAGCTGCCTCCATTCAGTGTCCAATACCCTTGAGTCTATGTAATTATTACATCAAGCAGCTACATCGTGTAAATGAATTGATAATAATGAATTTGCAAAAACTATAACAATTATTTTATTGTTTCAGCCTCTGTATGCAATGCAAATATTATGAAAGCTGTACTCAAGCTGTCTCAAATAGATGTACATTAATTATCTGTTATATGATAATATAATAATCAAGGAATAATTTGATCTCCAAACAAGAATGACTCTCAGTAGAGTGCATACCTCAGTTAACAGCTTATATTCAGTCAAACTGCACCAAATCTCACACACTCACAGATGTCAGTCCCCTAAATATGAAATATTCACTGGGAAATCAATGGAAGTAAAAAAGAAAAAATGCCCCAAAATTTTGAAATTGTTCTTTCTTGGCCCATGTCCCATCCTTCAGACAAGTTTTGAAGGAATCTCTCCAGTTGTTTTTTGAGTAATCCTGCTGACAAACAAACAGACAGACAGAGGGGAAAACATTATTACTGTCTGATATGTCTGTAATGTCACAGAAACGTTATTCAAACGTACAGTTACAGAAATAAACTAGCTCCTAACTGTGCCAAGGCCAAACAACAACTGCACACGTCTGTCTAGCTCTCACCATAAAAAAATAAAAGGAAAAAGGAAGTAGTCTTGTGATTTGCACAAATTCATAGATCTCAACTATAAGTTTGGAAGAAAAGAAAATTTTGAAATGTTTTTGAAAAGTAAAAAATAAAAAGTAATGGACCTGCTCCTTAAACAGGACATGCACCTGTAATGGGTTATTGTCCCTTAAAAGAAACTATACGATGTGTTACTAATAAAATAAACAGCACTCATTTGTGAACTGATCATCCTGATTGTGTTTTCCTCCACAGGTTGAGGGGATAAATGGGATGTATCTCACCAACAAACTGGTGGATAATCACATCAAGACTTTTATCACCTACAACAAGGGACAGACGTGGGCCCTTCTGCCAGCTCCTGCCAGCGATGTGGCTGGAAATAACCTCCACTGCATTCTGGTGAGCTCCAGCCTCTGGGCTGCAGAGAGCCAACGCTCTTATTCATGCGAAATGAAGCTCGTGACATATGTCGTTCGTCAAATGTTTCAAACTCATCAGCCGTGCTTTGAATGCTCTTTTTTATTTTATTCAGGGACACTTTAGCACAAAGCCCAGGTGCAGATTGGCTTCATAGCCTCCTAACTGGCAGGGGAGATGCTCGGAGGGAATATTCTCATTATCAGTATAAGGCAGCGAGTGTCATCATGTTTAGTTTCAGGGGTCCAGACTTTCCATTAACCTCTGTGATTCCATTTACTACCTGTAGTCACTTTGGACTAATGAATTTCAGGTTAAACTGAATTTCATTATGCTGCCACGTGTATCGTATATTGTTTGGTTAATAGCAGATTACAATCTTCAACATATAGTTGACCATTCTGCTCTCTTCTGCTTACCGACGACCCCCCGCCCAGCAGCCTCAGCTGTTTGAAAAGCCTTATTGATGTTTTTCAGTGTGCTTTAGACTGAGAGATGAGTGAAATGATTTGAATCAATTTTGCCAGTTTTATCAGTGCATCTTGGGGAATTTTAATTACATGCCTTGTTTGCTGTAGAACGAACCAATTCAAATGCCCTCTGCGTCCTCTCAGCCTTGTTTCTTTCTTTCTTTCTGTCTTTCTTTTTTTGCCGGCGCAAATGAGGGGAAGCAAGAATCTTTGTTTTATAAATGGACTGAAAATGCTCACAGTTTTGTCTCAATGGGAAGAATGGTTTGATGGCAGAGCCAATTATAATTGCTCCCGTTAAGATCTGTGTGACTCGTTTCATCCTGTGCTGATCCGTCTTTTTGTTGACAGCCATTTTGCTCGCTGCATCTTCATCTGGAGATGTTGGAGAATCCCTACACGTCTGGACCCATCACCAGCAAAAAGTCTGTACCTGGAATCATTATAGCTACAGGTAGGGTCACATGAAGGTATTTAACGTCTGTCTGTATGTGGCTGACATATCTCGATAACCATTCATCTTATTGGCTTCACACTTTGTCCACGTACTGTATGGGACCCAAGGTCATTAGTGTTGAATTTGGTGTGATTTGTACACGCGATACGATCAATATGACTAAACTTTAAAAAGCGAGAAATGACCATGGCTCTATGACAGCGGCATCTGTTGATCACGACAATGACTCATTCAGAACAACAACAACGGATTCTCCAGTTTGGTTTTCTGCGTACCGAGTCTAGCACTTTGAATGAACAGGTGAACGGCTCTTTGTGCAGCAGCGGTGGTGCAGCTTCAGGTTTCTGTGAACTGAATCCTGCAGTCGATTTTTATTTTCCGTGGCGCAATTGGCCCAGGTCATTTTTACAGAGAAAAAGCTTCAAGCAGCATCACCACAGACCAAGCAAACAGCAAAGAAGTATGTTTAGACCGAACACTGCACTAGTAGATCAAACTGATAATATTAGAACATCAGATGCACCTTTAGTTGCTCAGGTAAATGTGTCGTAGCAAAACACAACACACTAATAACACAATCCCTCTTTCTGTCATCAACACTGAAACCTCAACTCCCAAACGATACATTTTCAATTTTCACTGAGATGATCAGGTGGCAGGAGTGTCCTCCGCTGGAGAATGAGGACAGATTCACAAAATAACTCTTCCCATTCTATCAGGTGTTTGTGCACATGGGTTTGTTGTGAGTCTGTTCTATGTAAATACACAGGCACTGAAATTATTCATGTTTTTGTACTTAGGGAATATCGGAACAGAGCTGTCCTCCACCAACCTTGGGATGTTTATAACATCTGATGCAGGAAATAGCTGGAGACAGGTGAGAGCCATCTGGGTCTACACGCTGCACATGTTTAACTATATTGGATGATGTATTCATATTGAAAGTGTGTTGTCATAAGTGGAGCAAATGTGTCTGTTTTCACTGTGTATCAATGCAGATTTTTGATGAAGAGCACAACATTTGGTTTCTCGACAATGGCGGCGCTCTGCTGGCAGTCTTGCACGCACCGACGCCGATCCGACACTTATGGTAGGTGTAGCGACCCTCCAACTGTACCTGCTGTAATAATTGCTGTGAGTAGGATATGGACAGTGGAGCTATAGTGGGAAATTACTTGGGTATAATCATACTTTTCGGGGAGGGGGCGTTGATGATGCAGTGTATGATTACACTTTATGTTTTGAAATGCTGATGGGCCAAGTTTGCATGATTATTTTATTGCCTCTGCAGCTTCAAAACCAGAGTCAGAATCATTTCCAACAGAGGAGAGTCTGTCACAGCTTTGTTCTCTTTGTTGGAAATGTGGTTTGAGTGCTTTTATGTAAATGCAAAGTAGAGCAGGGTGGAAATATGAGACTGAGGATGCCCTTATAACTCCCTCATATTGTGGGAGCGCTGTAACACTACCTACTTTGATGTCCCTGCACACCACAGCCCTGTCAAAAGTGATTAAGCTCCGAGAAAGGTGATTTGAAACCCCCTCAAATGTCTAATGTTACATTCTGAGCCATATCTCTCCTTTTTCTGTTTTGTCACCTTCAAAATTTTACCTGGGCCGAGGAACATTTGTTCTGGTGTTCAGCCTGTTGTCGAGATAATTTTTCACATTGGAGAGAATCCAAGCTGTTTCATTTTTCAACCGCAGCTAAAGCTAAATGGCCTGTAATCTTTTATCATGTTACTTTTTACCTTGTTTTTCCACCGTTCAACCTGTGCGGCGGGGCTGTTTGATGGTTTGTTCATTGGGAAGAAATATATTTATCCACCACAGATAGATAAAAACTGATAGATGGAACAGAAGCACAGGCGTTAACAACTGTTGTTTTTTTTTAAATTTAATCCAGGATCAGTCTCGATGAAGGAAAGAAGTGGGACCGTCACAGTTTCTCTGCGGCACCTCTGTTTGTGGATGGCGTCCTGATGGAGCCAGAATCTGACAATCACATTATCACGTAAGCAGACACAAACGTACAGTCCAGGGAGAAATAAAACAAATATCAGGCTTTAGGAATTAGCTTCTCCTGTGATTCTCCCCAATGACTTTTCACCAAAGGATATTTTATCTCGTCTGTCAAAATAAATGCCAGACTTCAGATTTGCAGCCGCTCTTTGTTTCATATCTGAAACATGTATATCTGTATCTCGGGATGGTCTTATCTAATATTTGCATTTCGGTAAATCATTTTCCAGTTTCTTCGGGCACTTCAGCCATCGGTCAGAGTGGCAGCTGATCAAGATCGACTACATGGGCCTCTTTAGCAGGAGATGCATGGATGGGGATTATCAGACATGGCACCTGCACAACAAGGTAACAGCAATATTAAACATCATTGATTTTATTGTCAACACCAAGAGATGCATGTTTGTCCGCTGTCCATGTAGACACAGTACACTTGCTTAATGCATGAGCAAGAATTTTTACCTCCGCCAAGGATGTTTTCACTCTGGTCTGTTTGGCATTTGTAAGCAAGATTACAAAAAAGAAATTATCCGATTCCACAAAACTTGGTTAAATGATGCAGGATGGTTTAGAGAAGACATCATACAGTTTTAGTGTGGGTCTGGATCTTTCCTTTCCTTTCTTTTACATTGCGATTTGGCGTTTTTTAAACATTTTTCCCATATTACCTGGAAATAATTGATGGATCTTGACATAAAAACAGGTACATTTAGGGAACTGATATCTATGACTATGAGAAATTTGGTGCAGATCCAAATAAAAATCTGGATCTAGTGAATTTAAATCTTCGTTATCTTCATAATGGAGCTGTCGGGACTTGGCAGAGGTATGCGCTCGACTGAGTGCCATCCTTCTTTCTGTTTCCTCTTTCCTGTCTCTCTTTCTCGACCCTCTTTCACACGTGTGAAAAACCAGATTATGTTTTTCTCTGTCTGACAGGGGGAGCTGTGTGTGATGGGTGAGAAGCAGATCTTCATGAAGCGCAGACCAGGCAACCGTTGCATGCTGGCCCAGGACTATTCCAGGATCTATTCCTCGGAGCCGTGCCTCTGCACAGCCTTTGATTTTGAATGGTAATGACTTCATCTCTCAGCTTTCCCCGACTGGGACTAAACTGTAACTCACACTTTTATCCCCAGTGATCCGTAATTTCTTTCATTACATGTTTACAAAACAGATGCTCTCCCTTTGAACGTCTAATTCAATTGTTCTGAATTAACAGCGGCTTGTAGACATTTCTAATCAATAACAGACGTATCAGCTTGCTGAATTTCGTACGCCTTGATAGCCATCTTCCATTGCATATTATATACTGGATAACCAGTATTACTTTATTCATCCAACCTAATTACAATTTTTAACTGGAAGTTAGGAACTTTTCATTGTGCTACTGTAATTTGCATAATGTCAAGTGACTTATTAGAATTCAATTAATAATCTGTCTGAAATTCTCTTTGATCCTGCTTGTCTGACAATCATGTCTCTAGTTAAGGTCTTAAAATATGCCACCAATCTCCAGCTGCGAAGCATTNCTGAACAAAGAAGAAGCAGAAGAAGAAGAAGAAGATACAAGTTGTATTTTTAAAGGTTAAATGTTTAATCCATTGAGCTCATCCGAGCAGCAGGGTTTTAAATATCTTTTATCCATCTGTCTGAAATTCTCTTTGATCCTGCTTGTCTGACAATCATGTCTCTAGTTAAGGTCTTAAAATATGCCACCAATCTCCAGCTGCGAAGCATTTGCCCCACTACAAAAGCTTGTAGGAGCTCGATTATTTGAGTAGCTGAAGTGATGAAGTGTCATATTTTTTGGCAGTGATTATGGGTGGGAGCGCCAGGCGGACGGGAAGTGCTCCCCTGCTTTTTGGTTTAATCCAAATGGTGCAGCTAAAAGCTGTAGCAGCAGCCAAAGCTTCCTTAACAGCACAGGGTAAGTGCCCCCCAATGTTCAACCCATCACCGAACAATATTATTCCATTCCAGTTTGTTTGTCATGTTGTCAAGAGTACAAACAGAAATATGATGGTTTGCTTCCTCAGTGGTTCAGACAAATAGGCAGAGAGTAAAGCTGAAAAAGTGAAACACTGTCTAAACTCCACAAAATCATGCAAAACAGGTGTTGAGTATGCAGCGCGTTCACACTCGAAAAGTGACAGAATTAAGAATACGCAAAGAGGCAAGTGTGCATATTAAGACTGTGTGCTGCTGATGGACACTATTGTTCCACAAATAATAGCACAGAGGAAATTGTGGAGTCGCTCAGATGTGGAATAAATTCAAGTATATTTTTTGATTGTGTTGAAACAGGTCCAAGAACATAAAAAACCAAGGGAAAGCATGAAATGTTTGAAACACTAGGTCACTTTGTGAAGTCAAAGCGACAGTAGATTTGTAAACCTGCCTTGATGTTCATTAAACACTATTCAAATGTACTGTCTGCTATGGAACTGCAACACGACATGCATCTCTGATGTTTTCAACTCAATCTTTTTAGGTATCGGAAGGTTTTGTCCAATAACTGTAAGGAGGCAGGTAGGAACGTTTACTCACCCAGGAGGCAGGCGTGTCGTCCCAGAGCGCCACGAGGCCTACGGCTGTCCACCAATCAGGGCGAGCTCAGTGCCACTGTCGGGAGCAACGTTACCTTCAATGTCTACCTCGACGACGTGAGTCAACGTTTATTTTTAATGTTTAAGGAAGCGTTAGCTCTAGTATTAGGAAAACCTAAATACAACAGTATTAGTCTGAAGGCCTGTGGTGTGAAGGCTGCAGCTCCTGAGTATCTGTGGGGAAAGGTCAGAATCAGCAACGTTGCAATGATACATTTCCTGGAAACTATCCAGGCCTGTACAAACTATAATGCTCGTTATTGAGACATTTCAGTTTTGATTAAAAGGACATTGCTGTATCCTTGGATCCATATAACTGGCATAGCTAAAACTTGTTTTACATATAGGTTTGTTTTTATTTGCCCAGTTTGTGAGATATCACTAAGATTTCTGCCTCCAGCTCAATACTATGGGGATGAACGGAATTTAGTTTGTGGTGAAATAAAAACAAATCAAACAATGTCCTCATTAACTCTGGATAATCCTCAGAACTCACTGTGAACACTTTCTATTGGAGATACCTCCCTACTGAAAAACAGACTAAATAAAACTGCAGACAGTGTCTTCTGTGACGCTGAATCTGAAAACAAGTTGTTGTTGATTCTTTAAATCTGATTTTTTCATGGCTGCCAGCACTACAAATGAAGGCCCGCTTAACCAGATATCTAAAAAACATGAGTAAATAAAACCAAAGATATCTGCATGGTTAGATGCCCCTGAGGGTTTGAAAGAAAATGTGTTTTATTTTATTTATTTTTTAAAAACGAACATCAGAATACATTTGATTGTTTTAGATTATTTCATCGTTTGGGAAGATGATACCAAAAGAAACCTTTAATGACCTTTGTAACTCTCTTTACTTTTCCTCTTCTTTCCTGAGTTGAATTTGTCTCTTTCCATTCAATATCACCTACAAAGTATTTGTGACATGGCTTACACAACCTCTCAGCCCGAGCACTTTAGTAGTGGACTGTCCTTACCTCACTTGTATGTGGACCAATTGAAGCATCCTGACCTAAGCCGTGGTGACAGGTGCCATGTCCTACTGTCTGTCCACAGGGAGACTCGCCGGGGACCAGCATCCAGCTAGACTTTGGGGACGGCATCAGGATCATCTACTCCAACCTGAGCAGGACTGATGATGGCATCAAGCACATTTACAGAGCGACTGGGATTTACCGAGTGGCGGCCGCAGCTGAAAACAGCCAGGGATCTGACAGCAGCACACTGTTTTTACACATCACCAGTATGTGAATAAGAAACATCATTACTCATTCCCGCTGCAGTGCATTCAGCATGAACGCCTTCTCTTTCATGGATAGACACGTTCCAACACTGCTGAAATTCATTTCAGTCCCGGTTGCATTACGTTTATGCATTTTAGCGTTGGAAAATTCAAAAAGCACACACCTAGAGCTAAATATACGTCAGCTGTGATTGCAGCAATATTTCTGTGTGGGTTTATATGTGAGAACATGTGTGTATGCATTCATGGATGGTTGTGTGCGTTGCCCCAGGTCCAGTGGAGCGCGTATATCTCTCCGCTCCTATTGTAGCCATCAGGGGGAAGGAGGCTAACCTTACTGCGGTGGTCTGGCCGAGTCACACCAGAACATTGACCTTCTTCTGGTGGTTTGACAACAGCTCAGAGGTGAGAAGCTTCTCCTCCTACTACTGTTGTTCCACACAAACACGCTCTTTATGTCTTGTTTCCTGAGGTCTTTTCCTTTCTCCTGCTACTCTGTTCATATCCTTGTGTTGCTGTAAATCTATTGGGCTTCAGCACAAATCAGATGAAATGTAACTGCACGTGACAGCTCAGTGTCTTTCGAGAAGAGCTAAGATGGCTGGTCATATTTATTTATCACTTCGATTGTGCTCACTGCAGCAACACTTCATTATACAGTATGTCAAGGGCAGCATTTCTACATTCGGCAGAGAAGGAAAAGTGGTTTTGTGTGCAATTCTCTTTGTTTTTTTCCTTTGAAATCCAGCCCATTATAACCTTAGAGGGAAGCATCTCGTACACGTTTCAGAGGGAGGGAATAAACAAGGTCACCGTCCAGGTTGCTTCTGGGAGCACCGTAATGCAGGATTCAAAAGTTATAACAGTTAAAGGTGAGTGGCAGCGACGGACTTCATATCACTTAAATTGTTGCGAGACACGTCACATGAATATGCGATGCGCTATCTCAGGTAAAGTATGATGCCTCTCGGTCCAATGCCGCGAGAGCAGCCATGTTGATGTCAACATGGACTTATTTAATGAATAAAACGTCACAGTAAACGAACACGAAATCTTGAGGAGCAATTAACTTCAAGGGGTGTGTTGCCAAATGAAAAAAGACAAAACCGCGCATCAGATTAATGGGAAACTAAACCAGAGGCAGCATTCATATTCTAACGGACATCACCGCACCTCTTTTTTTTCCCAGAGTTCTTCAGGTCGCTCCTGTTGTCGTTCTCACCAGTGCTTGACGAGCACAATCCTGACATTTCTGAGTGGAGGGAGGACATAGGCCGTGTGGTGCGGACAGCTCTGTCACAGGTACATCTCGTCCCTATCCCTCGGAGATCTTTCCTGGAGCCACAGTGGCTTTCAGGGTCATTACTATTTCATACCTGTTTGCAGTATTGATACTGCAGACATGATGTTTTATGGCTCCATGTGAGACATTTGTTCTTTTATGGTTTACCTGTGACCAGTGTTGAAATGTTAGTCATGGGACAGTCTCAGAGGAAACAGCCTAACATGTAACTTTGGGCTAAATGAACTTCTTTTGTGGAGTTACACCTGCTCGCTGTTTTGTCCCGTCACTGCAGGTGTCGGGGGTTCCTGAAGATCAGCTGCTGGTTTCTCTGTACCGGGGACTTCCGACCACAGCGGAGCTCTTCATCCTGCCCGATGAACACACATCCAGTGAACACAAAGGAAGCAGCGAGGAGCCTCTGGAGCTGGTGAGAACCATGAAATCTGGAAATATTGAGTTTAATTTCCATGTGAACTTTGATTAAGAATCCGTCGCCACTTCAAGTGATACGACACCTTCAATAACAAGATGTGATTAGACACATGAAGGCTCTGGCCAAAACACGTCCACCAGCAAATAATGAAATTAATTGGTTTTGGCTCAGTTTCTCTTTCAAGATGACAATTTTTAGAATTTGTAACTGGGGAGAGAGCCAGGCTACTCTCCCTGCTTCCAGTCATTATGCTAAGCTAAGCTAATCACCTCCCAGCTCAAGCTCAGATACCTAACAACCAAACAAATTTGTTGATGTGTTTAATGTAAAAGAGACATGGCTATAAATAACCAGTCCATAGGTATTTAATCTTAGAGAGATCAGTTTTTCTTTATTGCAGCACATCTCATAATGTTTTTGTTTGTCTTTTACAGATATCAGATATTTTTGTCACTGCCCTGAATCAAGGCCTGATCCAATTTGAGCTGAAAACCGACGTTCGCATTATTGTGTACATGACTCAGCAAACTCTGGGTAAGTTTGTTTGTAATCTTACCTCCTGATCCCTGCACAGTTGGACCAGCTTAATATTTAGATTTGAAAACCTATGCTCCATAATAAAATCATGCTAAAAAAAGGCCTGGGGCTTAATTTATGCCAATTTACTATAGTATGTCAACACATACATTTATTCTGTTCGATGATGTGAAAAACATAAACCACATATCTTTCCTTGGGATGATTTGACATTGAGTTCCACCCATATGGTGAAAAATGAAACAAGGTAAAGACAACAGTATTCCCTGAGTGAGATTCATATCATACTGTATATCACAGGATTTTAATATCCTTCACAGTCCATCACTTTTGCACCTGAGGCTGTAAGTTGGCAGCTCACTTCGAAATCAGACGATCAATGGCTTGATTGACAAAGAAGGCGTTTGGTATGCACTGCGGAAATCAACCGGGTCATCATGTCTTGAGCATATTGCAAAAACGTGTCGATCAACCCCGCGTGGCTTTACCCTTTTCATCCACCAGCGGATCTGTCTTCATTTGTGTCTGCATACAAAGGTCTGGGTTGCCTTTAAAATGATCGAGAAAGGTCATAGACTTCACAGGCTTCTGTGTGAAGGAGAGAAAGATGGGCAGGGATGGGGAAATATTGCGTCTCAGCATTTAAAAAGCCATGACTATGCATAAGCTCACCTGCACGATGAACCCCAGGGAGAGGTGGCGGACCTCCTAAAGGTTCTGTTTAATACCCAGAGGGGATAACGTGCAGAGAGCCGCTCCTCAAACAGTGCTGGCAGTTGTTGCATGACACGGGATAATAAACGTAATCTCCCTGAAATAAGACATGGCTTAGAAAAAAAAAATAGAAAAGGGTTTTAACACATTTGTCTTGGTTTTAAATGTGACGCCTGTTTGACATGTTTGCCTTTCAGCACCACTTGTGGATTCAAACACCATCCACAGTGGGTCGGCCATGTTGATGCTGCTCTCCGTGGTATTTGTTGGCATCGCAGCGTTCTTCATCTACAAGTTCAAAAGGTCTGTTTGCTCAGATTCAAAAATAAATGAAATAAATTCAACTTTAGATCTAAATGTTGAAATCTTTCTCCTTGTGTTCAGGAAAATCCCTTGGATCCACGTTCAGACTGAGGACAGCCACGAGAAAGAACCGGAGGTGATCAGTACGGTCGGTCAGAACGACAACATGTCCAAAGTGAAGCTCAGTGATTTTCCGTCTCCGAACGAGCTCATGGCAAAAGATCTGGACGCCAGAAGCAGAGGTACATCACTGACACATTTTTTTTACCTCTAATACTACAACTATTAATATATACTATCCTATATGATCATTATTATTGATACAGTAAGATTTCCCTTCATGATTCCAATAACTAGACTTTGTGTATTGAGTACTGATCTGAAACCAGTGCATTTACAAAAAAATAAGAGCTTGTATAAAATATTTTATCAGGTGTATGCTCCTCTCCTGTGTGGAGTGATGGTTACCATTATTGTTGTATTTTCTATTGCAAGTGGAAACTTGTCCAAAGTCTTTTATACAGTTCACGTTTTACTCACACTAACACCCAGCATTTCTGGCAGTATTCTTTGGCAGTTAAGTTTCTGATGCTGGTATCAGAACATGACTAGATATAGTAATGTGTCAACCATGTTGTGCCCATTTAAATTTAAAGCTAATTTTAAATGTTTATAGTTAATTTACTGTAGCAATGCATTGTATTTAGTGGAGTTAAAAAATCCTAAGAGTTCCCTTTAGAATGCACAAATAGTAAAGTAATATAAAATATAAATAATAGTAAATGTACTGTTTTGTGCCACCACTGATTTGAAGTCAATGTACAGTATTTTAAGAAAATATTACAGCAGCTGTGAAACAGGTTTAATGCCAAGTGTAAATTATACACAGAGCATTTATACCAGTGCGCTACTCAGACACACTAATACAGGATTTAAGGGATCACTGTCACTGGAGGAGAATGATGCTGATTAACATTTTATTGCCTCAAAACACATCACATCAAAACAGCATCTGCTTTGAATACAATTTAACTGTATTTGGTTTAGTCATAAAAACACATCTATGTCTCAGTCTTATTTAAATGAAGTAAAAGGCTCCTCTGTGATTGAGGAATGCCGCACTTTGAAATATGACTCACAGCTGAGATACTGGAACCGATGCAGCATGAAACATTTTTTTTGGATTGGCTAATTCCACAGCACGCGCACAACTGCAGCATCTACACAGTCACCAGGCGTCATGGTGACAAGTGAACTTTCTGATCGTTATGCCTGACATCCGCCGTGATGTCTTTTAGATGAGAAGTATTCGGTCCCTGCAGACGCTGTGGGCTATTTGACAAAAGTAGTGTTGCAGTGCTCCTGACACAGATGTGTGGGCTACAGGCCTTTTTTCTGGTCACTCAGCACTTTGGCCGTTCCTCATCCCTCAGCTGTTTCCACCTTCTCAAGTCCTTGCTGATCTGAAACAAATTAACTTGGTTTCGGTTGCTTTCAGAAGTGTTTATTTGCAAAAGGGCAGAGCAGCAAGAGACCTTTGATTTGGAGCCTCGGTAGATTAAATGAATTTACTACCTGCTGTTTAAAGATTTCATTAATATTCTGAAGCGTGACTTGATTCTCATGCCGTCTGACTTTGGCTGCGTTGCAAAGGCTCCCTCAAAACTTCAATCCCTTTTAGAAGTATACAATTAGCTAACTGCTTTCAAATGAGCTCACTAGTGCAGGTCACTGTCCACTCACAGAACAATTAACAGTGATCATTATTTCTCACTGGTTTGTTGGGAGCAGATTGACATGTATGTAATTGTATTTAAAACACGCCTTTTCTAAATACAATATTGTCTGAGTTGCAGTTTTTTTGTTAGGAAGTGTGAAATGTTCCTCAGGTCTTGCTCCAGCCTCTGGGAACATGCCCCCTACCAGAGGAAAAAAACATTAACCAGTTTTAATTTAATCAGTGTCCAGGTTCAGTGATTTTATGTGTTCTCATTTTAGTCCAAATGGTTTTACAAGCTCTAAGAAGAAGAAGAACCTGCTACTGGTCGATAATTGACACAACGCAGCTTCAGGCTGTAGAGTCAAGTCTAAATAGTTCCGATTCATGAAGGTTAAAATGAAGTTCTGGAGATTAAATGCAGCATTTGACAGATTGAAATTAAAATTGGACGTAAAGTAAATTAAATTTAGGATCTTAATTTGACTTAATACCAGATGGTTCTGAATGATTTACATGACTGCTCACATGGGCTCATGTTTCATAATAAAGTAGACGTTTGCAGGTCAGATAATATGGGAAATAAATAAGGTGTGAAAAAGGGCAGGATTCTTCTGAATGATGAATTGCACCAGACAGGACGTCGTCATAACAGGTCTACCTAGAAATAGTAAATGAAGACTGCGAAATCAAATCTTCAGCTATCAGTCTCTCATTACATTACCCACAATGCTCATGTGCTGGGAGGAAGTAAACTATTTATTATTCATTCAATTTATAAGAGTTATTCCTAAGAATGAGCTAAAGATCTGACGGAATAAAAATGTCTGAGTGTAAGATATAAAACAAATTTATCCAGCGAGTTACTTCAACTTACCAGCTCATAAATGATGAGTCTTACTCGGTGATAATTATTCACCAAAAACCTTTGTAATCAACACTTTTATTTGTGAAAAAGGCTTCGAGCAGTTGTACTAACTATGTTTAGGTATTTTTATAGTACCAAGTATTTTAATGGCCTAATCATAATGTATCGAATGACGATGGAACGCTCGTGAATAAGAAAATGAATCTGCGGCTCCCTTTTGGCTTTATGGATCCTAATAATGAGTTTCAGTAAAAGAAAATCTCTAACAGCCCACTGTGCACCACTTTCTCAAACAGCAGAGACTCACAGTCAGGAGATATCTGCTCCAAAACCCTGCATGAAAGATTTGACTTAAATTCATGGTCCAGAAACGCACCTGAATCAATGTTATTGCAATGAAATGAAAACACTGTTGCTCTATTGTGTCGTGTGTTTCCACTGACTTCAAGTGGGCACAAAAAATGAGCTCTTGCATGTTCAATATTTCCAGTGTCGAATAAAATAGGAAATATACAAGAGAGAAATCCTGCAGCTGGTAGATGAGGAACCCCAGAGAAATGTTTCTGATGGTGCCAACCATGAGTCAGTGTCTCCGTGCTGTAGCATCTAAATTTACTTTGAAGTTCAAGAGCAAATAGTAATAAGAAAAATTGGATGAGGAGCCTCGTTTCTTTATTTTAAAGTGTATTTTACCTTTTGCCTTTTCACACTGTGATTTTAATACAAACCATAGATTGAACTCAGTCTTTAATTATGCTCCATATGCTCACTAATCATATTTTCTTTCACAAATCTGAACCGACAGCCAGATCTTTACTTTGATCATGGTCTTGGCGACTGCTCATCCAAAACATTTCAGAGTCAATGTTACACTTAAGGAGGTCTTCATTAACAATCCCAGCAAGTTTGAGGTTGATCGGATGAGCAGTTGTTGAGAAGAGCGGATGGGCTCAAAGGACAGACAGAGATCTCTGGATTTATGAGTACGATGCAGCTTCGTACAAATCCCTCCATTTAAACTTCTGACACAATAGAAAGAGGAAAATGTCACCTTTTGAAAAACCCAGTGTCTGCTAAAATCTGAACGACCCCTGTTGTCACAGCGGTCCCATCTTATCGAGCCTCCATCAGCAGCTCACACATGCTCGGATCAGCCACGTTCCTTTGTTGAAACAACAGGGGGCTTTTCAAACAAAATGCCTGGGTGATGAATTCATAATTCGGTGTAAAAACACGCACGAAAACCATTTGATCTTCAAGTCAAAAGATAAGAGAAATTTAGATGGAATTTTTCAGTTGTTTGATTGATGTTTAGAAGCAGTTATTACTTCACCCCAAATTCTATGTCACGGAGATGAAGCCAAAATATCTCAGATGCTGGAAACGTGTCATGTGCATGTGCAGACAAAGGAGTCGACTTTATTCCGTGTTTTCTAATCATGTTTGCATGTTTTTCAGGAGGAATTGGAAGAAACATGGAGAGAATTGTAACAAGGGAATTTCCAAACTGTACAAATGTCTAAGTAAGGACAGAGTGTTGTGCCACGATTGTGCTGAAATAGTTTGCTTTGTCTGCATTGTTTTTTTATTTATTTATTTCACGATCATAGCTGCTATCGTTCAGTCATGTTTTTAACTCACATGGATAGAATAAGTATGTAGTTTAAAAAACCTAAGGAAGATCAATATGTTGAACCAGAGACCTCTAGTTAGAGGGTGGTGAATTTGCTGAAATTGGCCAATAACAACCAAAGCGCCCGGCACAAAACGTCCAATTATCATCAGGAATCCCTCGTTCTTTACCGCCGCAATGGATGTGACATTGCTAATTTGGGTGTGTTATGAATATTCAGCCGATACTGACAATTTATTTCGCTCCCTGTGACATCAGTGAGGTTCTTTATTAGGATAATATGCGGGTAGGAGGCTGAGTCACTGAAATTAAATTGACAATGGGTTAGATAAAAATATTGATGCAATGTAAATGAGAAAGAGAGAAAGAATGTGAAAGTTTATCTGTGTAAGTTTAAATTTCATGAGTTTCTTTGTGGATATTTATAATAAACTTTATTAAACTTTAATTATATCAGGCCTTTATATTACGATACAGAGTAAAGAGTTGTCAACAAGGGAGAACACATTTGTTCTGTCATTATCTCAATATGACATTTTTAACTCACTCAGCATAAATTCTGGATGAACATTAACATTTACTGCCCTATAACTAGAGGTCATAGAGTTGTAAATATAATGAATATATGTAAAAATGTCAAAAACTGACTAATGTGAAAGCTTCAAAGATAGAAATGTGTAGTTTGGTTTTTGCTTTGTAAGAAAACACGGTGCTTTCAGTGTTGATGGTACACGACAAAAAGCATCTTTGGACATGAGGGTCTGGCAACTTGTATATAAAAAGAGATGGGATGTGAATGTATACAGTAGCTCCATTTTACCTTACAGTAAAGTCAAACCACTGAACACACAGACAGTAGTATGTGTCCACGACCTTCATCTGTACATCCTTTTTTAATTTGTATTTTTTACAGTAGCATGCCCTAATTATCTGTGATAAGACTTTCCATTAACTTATAAAATAAGCTATTTTTGGCCCCTAGATCATCATTTAAACGTCTCCACTCACAGAACAAACAGAAATCAGCAATAACAAAGTGCAAAATATTCTGTGGAAAGTAATTACACATTTTTTGTTCATGTTTAGGTATGGCAGCTTTAGTTTTAGCTGAACTTTCTAGGACCGAATTTTTTCATATTAAACCTCTATAAAGCAGTATTATGGTTATTAACACTGTATCAAAATTCTCTATGTAATGTCGAAGGGGGTTCTGCTGAGAATCAGTCACAGAGTAGGCTAAATGAGGACAAATGCTAGTTCAGGTAGAAAAAAAAGTTATTCACTGCGAAGGAGAATTTAGGAAAGAGTTCCAGGGCCTTTTAAATGAAGGCCTAATGAGCAGATGGAGAAACAGCTGTACAAGGAGGAGAAGGGTTAGTCAAGGTAATGAGCAGAGGTCTTAAACCCACCAAGGACACTGAGGAGTCAAATATGCACCAAAGATAAATACAGGTTTATGATGTGATGATATTCGACAGAACTATAGCCAAAGAAATCTTTAGAGAAATGCTCCTTGTATTGTGACTGTAAAGCATCTTATTCTAGTCATTGTAGAATCATGTTAGCAAAGACTGTAATAAAATGTTCATATCTCTAGTCACCTGTAGGAGACTTGGAGTATGATTCCAACTGTACAGTATATGTTTGGCAACAGTTTAAGTTTAGTGATGCCAATACTTAAGCAAAGTATTTAATGGAATATAAAATGTCTTCTCTTACGCAGGTTAAATCAAACTCAATTTGAGCATTAAAAGCAACTAGAAAATTCCTCCCGGAGAAATTTTGAATGGGTTCCTTGTGCTTGCTGCTGGCTCCACAGAGAGACACATATTTTGAAAATCTAGGCTCATAACAGGTTTCCTGGTGTCATACTGTAACTATGGGGCGTGGCCTTATTTTGAAAATCTAGGCTGTATTGTAACTTTATTGACAGTTACAATCAACCTTTCCTGGTTGTAACAAGACACTTTAAAAAAAGGAAAGTATTGATTATGTTTGGTTATTGTTCAATGTGTTGATTCAGTCCTGAGCTTCATTATTCTAATGTATCAATAGTCATCATGGTTTCTCTAGATCCTGATTTGAATCCCAGCCTGAACCAGGTCTTTCTGTGTGGGTTTTCTCCATCTTCCTCCTACAGTCACATGCAGACCAGGGCTAGCTCAACTGGAGAATCTAAAATGTCCCTAAGTGTGAATGTGAGCTTGAATGCTTGTTTTTCTCCATTTGTCAGACCTGTGAAACGTCTGAGAGCTGTCCAGGGTGCATCCTGCCTCTCGCCCAATCATTGGCTACTGCGTCCCCTGAAGGGCGTGGTCACAGAGTATATAAAATTGTAGTGGCAAATCTTCAACACGTGTGTGAGTTCATCTTTGAACGGCGACATCAATGCCTAAACCAATAGCAAAAGCGTTTGTGTGGATGACCTCACTTGGCTGTCATTGGCTGCAGTTTTTATGGTGAGCCAATACAGGAGACCCTGATATTAGTTGTGTCAAACCAGCCAATACTTTTAATGTCCTACATGAAAATTAGAAAATTATAAAGTAAATAAACTGTTGAAACTGTTGTCTGTGTGCGTCACATCATGCAGCATCACATTCAGCAAGCCACTGTACGTAATTTACCTCAGCAGGCGATTATCATTCTCCTGCATACGTGTATGTGTCACTGTGCCAAGCGGTCCAGATAATGGATGGATGGTTTCCCTGGAGTTAAAGAACATGGTGACCAAACACCCCCTCTTCAGCGATTTAGTAGCATTATGGCCACCTTGTGGTTTGGAGTTGGGATTGTGGAATAAACCTTAACCATCACATCCATCAAACCGAAACCATTCCTGCTCCTCTGAGTTCTTTCATGTGTCGCCTTCCCTGTCCCATATTTATTACTATTTATTAGTTCTGTCTTTAAAACCATTTGGGGGGAATTCTAAGCCAAGAATTATATTCTTACTGAATATTCGAAGATTGGACGGGGGGTTGGGGAGGTAGACAGACTTCAAAGTTAAAGAACATTTTCTCAAATCTGGAGTGAGTGTAAGCTCATAGAGAGCAGCTCTTATTTCATTAGCAGCTGGGTCCTGTGCACACTCAGTATAATGTAGGCTTTTCAGTCCCCCATGAGAGTCAGAGAGGCTGTGCCAAAAGTCAGGAGATGAAGAAATGAATCGCCATCTCTGACTCTAAACCCTACCACCACCTTCACATGAGAAAGGGCGAGACTGCGGCTCCTCGTGTGGGAAAGAACTCTTCATTGTGAACATGCAGCTACCACTGGATTAGGGTTTGTCAGAATCCTCCACAGTCGCCACCCCAACAAACCATCCAGAGCCTCCAGAGGCAGTCACTCACCATTACCCAGCCTAATCACTGAACATGCTGCTGTCTCCCATTAATGGACTGACACTGTTGGGCGGCATCTGGGATGTGATTTGAGTGGCACAGAACCTGCTTGAATGAGCACCTTATTGGCTTGTCAGCACGGAGAGCTGTTTAGTGTTGTGTGATCTAACGAGATATCCTCACCTCGTGAGGGGAAGGGACTGTTCCTAAGCCCTGCTGGGAAGAGAAACAACAATAGCCACCTCTGGTTTGGCAGAGGGTGATGATATCGCTCTTTCTTCAGCCCTGTTATCATTACAGACTGGACGGAGCCCTTTTGGGGCTTAATGTGCACAAGCTGCAACAAAGGTTTACCTGTGTTGGTTTAATAGCTACAGACATCGCCCGATTTTTACGAGTTTTATGATGTATTTTGAGTGCAAATTTTGGCATCTTGTTTGGCTAAATGCTTTACACAATGATGTTGGTGATATCACCTATTTCATTATCTCACAATTAATTAATTGCATAAGTCCTTCTACTAGTATTTTTAAAATTAGATAAATGGCAGCATACTTCTCCCTGTGGAGCTATACCACAGGGGCTCATATATCACAGGTCGAACAGAGTCTTCTTTGATGCACTTATAGTGTATGAATTTCATACAATACTTATCCTGTCTCTTCAAGATCAAAGTAAAAGGAAATGCTTCCCTGACCTTTTGTATTCGATGTACTTCGGCACAATGTTCACCAGAATGTATTTATTGGTGCATCATAAT